TTGGGGACTGCCCTGCCTGGTCTCAGGAAGCTCTAACCCCCCCGTGACTTAGTCTGAGTGAAAGACCTCCGGATCAGGAGCCACTGTGGAGACAAAACTTATTTCGCTGGCATGAATGCTGCATGTTCTAATGCCTGGCTTCTCTTTTGCATGGTTGGCAGTCAATGACGGGTAACAATTCTCTAAAAAAGAGAATAAATCTAAGACAGATGCGATCATGTGGGAAAGTCCTAAAGGAAGAGACTCACAGGGCTGTGGAAATGAAGGGGTGATCCACATCAACCCCTGCCCCCTTGCCGTTGTCAAAGCCTGAGTCTTTGTTCTTAGATGTGAGAAATCCAAATCTCCTGGCTGCCTCTGTCTTCTGCCCTTCTCAGGCCTGCAGGGGCGGTACAGCCCAGACCAGAAATGGCGGGCCCCTGGGGTAATCAGGCCTGGGACATAGAATATGCAAGATCCTGTGAGATCTGTTTGCTGGAGGATGTTATTAACTTGGAATTTAAGGGCACAAACAGGAAACCTTTGGAACCTGTAGTCCTTTCATATGTTAAAACTCCAAACTTTGCACAGAATCACAGCAGGAGTTCTGTCTGTCACCTACATCTTTTGATCTTTTCTGCCAGACTATGAATCCACAAACTAACTCTGTTTTCTCAATAAAAATCTGCTTGGGAATGGATATGGGGTGCTCTCTCCACTAGAGAGAGGGTGGCCATCCCATTTTTACTTCCCCACAGAAACTGTTTGTCTCTGTGTATGTCTTTCTTGTGTTTCAACCAGCCATCCACTGCCCGCGCTCACTGTAGGCAGGTGAGCCCGCAACACAATGGCTCTAGTAGCACTTAGTTGTCTTTAACGTCATACGAAACAATTCTGTTAGATTGTATTGTGACAGCTGTCATCTCAGCATATATATTTTACAAACTTATCAAAATTGTGAAAATTTTTGTGGCCATTTTAATACTGAAGATGGAAGAAAATGTGCAACATTTTTAGCATGTTATGCTTTATTATTTCAAGAAAGTTTAAGATGCAACTGAAATGCAAAAAGAAAAGATTCGTGCAGTGTATGGAGAAGGTACTGTGACTGATCAAATGTGTCAAAAGCAGTCTATGAAGCTTCATGCTGGAGATTTCTCACTGGATGATGCTCCATGATTGGGCAGACTAGTTGAACTTGATAGCAAATAAATCAAGACATTAATTGAGAACAACTGATGTTATACCACCTGGGAGATAGCTGACATACTCGAAATATCCAAATCAATAAAGTTGTTGGAGAAAATGAAGAATGTGTCTTTTATTTTATGGAAAAAACTAAATTAAGTTTTCGGCCAACCCAATATTTCAGGATGAAGAGTGTTAAACCCAGAAGAAAGCTGTGGGAATGTGAAAAGACATATGAGCAAAGAAACAAACAAATATGTTGATAAAGCAAAATAAGCATTACTGCTAACAATAATGACATGTTCAACATTACCATTCATCAGAGAAATGAAAATCAAACCCATAATGAAATCCTACCTCACACCCATTGTCATGGCCACTATCAAAAAAAAAAACACACAGAAAATAACAAATATTGGCAAGGATGCAGAGAAAGTGGATCCCTTATTAAAAATAGAATCACCATATGATCCAGCTATTCCACTCTGGGTCTACACCCAAAAGAATTGAAAGCAATGTCTGAAAGAGATATTTGTACACCCATGTTCATAGTAGCATTATTCACAAGAACAAAGAGATGGAAGACACCCAAATACCCATTGACAGATGAATGAATAAGCAAAATATATTCTATCCATACAATGGGATATTATCTTGCCTTAAAAAGGAAGGGAATTCTGATACATGCTACCATATGGATGGACCTTGAGAACATTCTGCTAAGGGAAATAAATCAGTCACAAAAAGACAAGTACTGTATGACTCCACTTCTATGAGGTCCACTTCTAATAGAGTAGTCAAAGTCATAGAGACAGAAAATAGAATGGTTGTCAGGAACTGAGAGGCGGGGAATGGGAGGTTGATTTAAGGGGTACAGTTTTGCAAGATTAAAAAGATCTGGAGATCTGTTTCACAACAATATGCCTATACTTACAGAACTGTATACTTAAAAATGATCAAGATGGCAAATTTTGTTCATTTTTTTATCATAATGAAAATATCCACCATAAAAAAATGACTAATTGGGTAGACATCAAATATTAGATGAGAATAACAAATAAGACAAAATCAGAGAAAGCAGAATGAAAGCATTTTAATTATCTGTGTTATTTGGAAAGAAAAAGAAATATTATCTTTAGATTTTATTGTTCAAGTATGCATACCATACCAAATATTTAAGGGCCCCCAGGACCTTTATTGTGCCTCTAAGTACTGTTTTTCAATAAAAGGAAGGAGAGCTTGAGGAAATGTTGATTCTGAATGTGGGGGAGGGAACATGCAAGATGAGTCTGGAAAATCTTATTATGACAGAAAGCAAGGAAACTACCAAAAACTAACAAGTTGGTCAAAAGGACTCAGAAGTCAACTCAAAGAAGCTTTCACTACCAAAGGCAGGGGATTTGAGCATTAATAAGAATAATAACTGGCCCTGGTTGGTGTAGCTCAATGGATTAAGCGTGGGCTGTGAACCAAAGGGTGGCTGGTTTGATTCCCAGTCAGTGCACATGCCTGGGTTGTGGACCAGGTTCCTAGTTGGGGCCACATTAGAGGCAACCATCCATTGATGTTTCTCTCCCTCTCTTTCTCCCTCCCTTCCCCTCTCTCTAAAAAAAATAAAATCTTTAAAAAAAGAATAATAACTACAATGGATTAAGATACATCAATATGTTAAAATTATCCATTTATAATTATGCTGAAAAAAAAAACTCCACCTCAGTGGTCACTTTTGGATTAAACATATGCATGTACTTTCACTTTCCCCCAAACTCACTAAACAAGAGTAAAAAAATTTTTTTTTAATTTCAAAACCACAAAGACAAAACCAAAGCCAAACAGAAGAGGAGACAAGAGCAACAAAATCTGGATATATGAGTTAGAATTTCCTGATTTTGCTGAAAAGTTGCTCAACATCACTAATCATCAGAGAAATTCAAATCAAAACCACAATAAGATAATCCTCACACCTGTCAGAATGGCCATCATCAATAAATCAACAAACAAGTGCTAACGAAGATGTGGAGAAGAGGAAATCCTAGAGCACTGTTAGTGGGAATGTAGACTGGTGCAACCACTATGGAATACAGTGTAGAGTGTAGAGTTTCTTTTAAAAATTCAAAATAGAATTGCCTTATGACCTAGTGATTCTACTCCTAGGAGTATATTAAAAAAAAACCCAAACACTAATTTGAAAGAATATATTCACCCCTATTTTCATTGCAGTATTATTTACAATAGTTAAGATATGGAAGCAACCCAAGTCCCTACCAAATAGACAAGAGGATAAAAAAGCTGCAGTGCAGACACACAGTGGAATACTACTTGGCCATAAAGAAGAATGAACTCTTACTTTTTGCAACAGTATGGATGGACCTAGAGGGTATTATACTAAACAATAAGCCAGACAGAAAGACAAACACCACATGGTATTTCACTTACATGTGGAGTTTAAAGAACAAAATAAACAAATAAAATAGAAACAAAACTCATAGACGTAGAAAACAGACTGACAGAAGGTCCACTCCCCTTTATAGGGAGGCTGGATGAAAAACATGAAGAGATTAAGCAGTATATATCTGTAGTTACAGAATAGTCACAGAGATGTAGATTACAACATAGAGAATATAGTTGATAATATCACAACAACTATGAATTGAGCCAAGTGGGTACTTGATGTAGGGGAGAACCACTTCATAAAGTACATAATTTTTCAATCACTTTGCTGTATATCTGAGACTAATACAGAATAATATTGAATGTAAACTTTAAGTGAAAAAAATTTAATTTAAAAACACTTTTAAAAAAGAATTCCCTGATTTAGCAAGCCCCAATGAGTCAAATCCTAAGCCAAAACAGAGAAAGCTGAGAAGCAATCAGACTTATACTATCAAATTTCCCAAATGCTCTGGAATAAGCAGCACTGGTTATCTTTATAAGAAGGGATGAAACTGTACTAGATATAAGAAAGCTGTTTGGAAGTCTGTCTAGACATCCACTGGATTCCTAGTTCCTCTTCCCAAAGCTGCACAGCTGACAAATATCCCTTCCCCCTAGTAGAAGACTGGAAGTTTATTCTTTAATGAGGGTAAAACAGAGGATCTCTAACCTAGCGAATACCTGGCACAACTGTGGGAGGAGGCTCACACTGCAAATGAGTAGTAAAATATATTTATACATACATGTTTCTAATAGTGAGACGCCCAGTCCTCTTCCAACCCTGGCTCCCAAAACACTGGCAACCAGCCCTTTATACTCCCAGGAGAACAGAAGTTCCCTTTTCAAAGAATCTAATCACTTAAGAGAAAAGACCTAAAGATGTTGAGACTAGAAATTTTGAAGTAAAATGATTCAGCCAGACCATCCTCCTGAGAAGCCATAGTTGAGATGCCACCAGCATGCTCAAAACTTCCAACCAGCTTTCTGGTGGCAAATGCCACCAAACATTTGAGGAGAGTGGGCATGTGGAAAAACTGAAGTTAAAAAAATAAATAAATGGGGAAAGCAACCCTTACAGGGAGAAAATATTTTTAAAACTATTTTAATATCTTCAGAGTTAAGATACTGCACACATAAGCAAAACTGTTCCTTTAAATTGAAAACAAAGGGGAACAAGAACAAAAGAGTCCTTAGAAATTTGAAAATATGAAAGTACTGTCTTCTTGGATGTTGGTAGGTTCATCCCCTGGGTTAGGCTAGTTCCCTCTGACTTAAAAGCTAGGCTTTCCACCCTGTCCATTGCCCATTCCCCAGTGCCCACCCACTGCCCATTCACTGCCCCTTCTCTGCCCTCTCCCTCCAATCTCAGCCTGAGGTCCTCAGCTTAGCTCTGCACTCACACAGTCTATGTTCTCTGTCATGTTCAGAATGATGTAATTTTTCCCAGCCAGATTGCTCCAGTCTTTGCAGATCACCTGTACAATGAAACAGAAAGAAGGGTGACAGTTACAAAGAGCATAAGGAAAAGCATCTAGAGAGAGCATGGGTAGAAAATTTTTGAGAAGCTAGCAGGTGAAGGCCAGGTATAGGTCTGTGTTAGCTAGGTGGGAGCTGATAGCCTCTACAAGAAGATGACATGCCCAGGATCCAACCCAAGGTTCACACACCCATATATTTTCATATAGCAAGTGAGATGAGGAAGCCAAAAGTGACATAAAGGAAGAGGAAACTGTGCCAAAGGAGCTAGACTAAAGAGGGTTTTCCCTAGCTAGAGACAAATTTGTTTTTAATAATCTGTAGTGCAAATAAAAACATTCCTGTGGGCCAGGTGCACAGGCTGAAAACTTAGGACCCCTTTCTTTTCCTTCTGGTGTTGAAAGGTGTGAGCACTGATTTAGGTGTGTGTGTATACTGGGTAGGTATGATGAGGGGAGGAGCAGAGGACAACTGCACATGTAGTAGTAGGTGTGAGAACAGAGCTGAAGAGAATACAGCACAAACTCTCTCCACTGTCATAAGCAGTGTAGAAGCCAAGGGTAGCAGCAATAGCACCTGAATGAATGAAAACCAGGCCAGGGGACCATATGCTTTCAAAACTTCTATTTTGTGTATAAGTGTGGGGAGAACACCCATTGCCAGGCCATGAGGTGTGCATCCTCAACAGTTCTGTAAGGCTGTTCATGGTAGCATGGGCTTCTATCCTCAGCCTAGCAGACCTCCCACTGCCGTGCAACCCCAGAGTGGCCAAGGGCCTGCACACACTTTCACATTACCTGAGTAGAATCCCAGGGGATTCTGGATTGAGCTTCAGCAGCCTGCCTTTGCTGGGACTGCTGGCTGAGGTCTTCTTGTCCCAAGGTAGCAGAGGAAGGTGTCAGCTCCATGTCTTGGGGGGCCTGGGAAAAAGCAGCTGAGGCTCCAGGGTAAAGGGGATCTTCATCTGGGGTCTCAGATCCACTGGGGGCTTGAGGGAATGAGGCTGAGGACAGCACTTCCCCTTGTTTGCCAGCCAACACAGCTATTCCCATGGTAGACTTCTCATTTGCCTCCTGAGGAGCCTCAAACTCTATTTCATGCCCTGCAGCTGGTAGCACTGTGCCCCCTGCCTCCTGGCTGGCGAAGTCCTGACCCCCCAGGGTCACAGTACTTGGGGTGACTGAGGGTGGTGACAGGCTTGGCTCTATGCTGCTCCCTACCTCCACATCTGAGGAGGTCTGGCCCCCAACATCTTTATGCCTGTGTTTGGGAGCCAGGGGAGTCTGGGTGCTGCTGCTAGTGGGAGAAAAATGGTAGACCTGCGTTTGAGCTTCTTCTTGAGCTCTGTTCACAAGCAGTTCTTCCTCCTCCTCCTCCTTCTCTACCTCCTCTTTCTGCTCTTCCTCCTCCTCTTCTTCCTCTCCAGGAGCCATATGCCAGGGTGGCTCCATCAGGTTCATCTTAGGCAAAGGAGGGGGGAGGCTCGACACCTCTTGACCCTGGCTGGTGTCTCCTATGGGATCTGCCTTCTCAGTCAAGTCTGGGAAACCATAATCTAAGAACAGAGATAGAAAATTAATTCACTAGTTTCATTATTCATTGATTTGTTCAGTATTTGCTGAACAGATGATATAAAAGAACCATAAAACCCATAGGAGGACAGTGAGGAGGTTGCAATAGAGGTCATGTCAGAAAAAGAGTAGGTTATGGCTGGGTAAGGGGAAGGGGGGCTAACTGAGGGGAAACAAGGACCAGGCTATTCCTCATTTCCTTAATGATATTAAAAATGACATAACTCTTCCCTGACCAGTGTGGCTCATTTGGTTGGAGTATGGTCCCATATAGCAGAAGGTGTGGGGTTCAATCCCTGGTCAGGACACATGCCTAAATTGTGGGTTCAATGTCCAGTTGGGGCACATATGAAAAGTCACAGATAGATGTTTCTCTCTCCAGCTCTCTCCCTTCCCCCAAAATCAATAAACATATTTTAAAGTATATTTTATTGATTATGCTATTACAGTTGTCCCATATATTGTATCTCCTTTATTCCCCTATACCCTGCACCACCTCCCCATATACCAGAATTCCTCCACCCCTTAGCTTATGTCTTTGGGTCGTACATATAAGTTCTTTGGTTTCTCCATTTCCTATACTATTCTTAACCTTCCCATATCTATTTTGTACCTACCATTTATGCCTCTTATTCCCTGTACCTTTACCCCTATTCTCCCCACTGCCTCTCCTTGCTGTTAACCCTCCATGTGATCTCCATTTCTGTGGTTCTGTTCCTGTTCTGTTTGCTTAGTTTGTTTTTGTTTTTGTTTTGGGTTCAGTTGTTGATAGTTGTGAGTTTGTTGTCATTTTGCTGTTCATATTTTTTATCTTCTTTTTCTTAGGTAAGTCCCTTTAACATTTCATATAATAAGGACTTGGTGATGATGAACTCCTTTAACTTGACCTTATCTGAGAGCACTTTATCTGCCCTTCCATTCTAAATGATAGCTTTGCTGGGTAGAGTAATCTAGGTTGTAGGTCCTTGCCTTTCATGATTTTGAATACTTCTTTCCAGCCCCTTCTTGCCTGAAAGCTTTCTTTTAAGAAATCAGTTGCTAGTCTAATGGGAAATCCTTTGTAGTAACTCTCTCCTTTTCTCTCGCTGCTTTTAAGATTCTCTCCTTATCTTTAATCTTGAAATGTAATTATGATGTGCTTTGGTATGTCCAACTTCTTTGGGACTCTCTGAACTTCCTGGACCTCCTAGGAATCTATTTCCTTTGCCAGATTAAGGAAGTTCTTCATTATTTGTTCAAATAAGTTTTCAATTTCTTGGTCTTTTTCTTCTCCTTCTAGCACCCCTGTGATTCAATGTTGGAACATTTAAAGTTGTCCCAGAGGTTCCTAAGGCTCTCCTCATTTTTTTGAATTCTTGTTTCTTCACTTTGTTCTGGTTGAATATTTATTTCTTCCTTCTGTTCCAAATCATTGATTTGAGTTCCAGTTTCCATCCCTTCACTTTTGGTTCCCTGTATATTTTTCTGTATTTCACTTTGCATAGACTTCACTTTTTCCTCTATTTTGTGACCATACTCAGCCAGTTCTGTGAGCATCCTGATTACCAGAATTTTGAACTCCTCATCTGATAGGTTGGCTGTCTCTTCATTGCTTAATTATTTTTCTGGAGTTTTGATCTGCTCTTTCATTTGAGTCATATTTCCTTGCCTTGGCATAGCTGTTATGTTGTAAGGGGTGGAGCCTTAGATATTTTTCAGGGTGGGGAAACAGCCCCTGAGTTGTGGGGCTGTATGTGGAAGAGGGGTCCAAAAGGGAACAGTGCTGCTTGCTTGTCTCTCAGCTGGCTTTCAATCACTTCCCCCACTACTCACAAGCAAATTGGACCCTTCTGGTGCTGATTTCCAGGTGAGTGAGTTTGTGTACATTCTTGAACCTTGTGGGTCTCTCCAATGAACTCTTCTGTGAGGCTGGGAGTTCCTTCCACAGCAGCAACTCCCACAGATTTTTACAGCCAGGGGTTTTGAGGCTTTATTTCCCCATGCTTAAACCCTGGGTGTGTGGTCTGTCTTGCACCCTAGTTGTTCCTCCCAGTTTATCCATATGCAAATGTGGAACTGCTCAGTCTGCCAGCCACCTTGCTGCACATCCTCTCCATTCTAGCTGTCCACCTCTGCCCCTCCTACCAGTCTAGATGAATGGATCTTTTTAAAGTCTTTGGTTGTGAGACTTCCACACAGTTTGATGTTCTGGCAGTTCTGGTTGTTTTTTTGTTTTTAAATTTGTTGTTCTTCTTCTTTTGGTTGTATGAAGAGGCAAAGTGTATCTACCTAACCTCCATCTTGGCGGAAGTCCCAAGTCTTTCAATAAACATTTCTTAAATGACATAAATCTTCCACACAAATTACATAAATACAGGATTGTATAAAGTAGAAAGTTTATATTTATACCCCTCAGAGATAGCCCTTGTTTGGATAGAGTTTGGATATCTTCTCTATTATTTTCAAAATTTGTTTATGTTTCCTCCTCTAGGAATTTCACCAAGAATACTGCATCAGAAAAGATTCTTTTTATAAAGTCTAAGGACACTTTTGGGGAACAAAATATAATTTTAAAATTCCAATTAGTATCCTCAGAAAGTCAAAACTGTTGCATCCCTAAAATAAAAGCAGGGTAATAAGAAAGTCAAGTAATCTTTTAAAAAGAGTTCTTGGAAATTGAAATTCAATTGTTGAAATGTAAAAATTCAATAGAACAGCTGAAAAAAATCATGGGAAGGTCTCCAGAGCAAAAGCAAAATGACAACAATAAATAGCCAAAGAAGAAGAAGAAAATTTCTGTGGCCTAGAAGCATGAATCTTCATAGTGAAAGAGAATACACACAAGGGGAATGATAGAAGACTCACATCAAACCTCATTCTATGACAACTCAAAATTCTAAGGGGCAACAGAAAATCCTAAAAACTCTCAGAAAAAGAATGAAGGAACCCATAAAGGAACAAGAAACAGATTATCAAATTATCATTGAAACTGGAAAAGACACCGGAGTTCGGAATGCCTGTCACTACCAACCCAATAAGCAATGACAGCGATTGAATCTTTATGGGCGCTTTATTCAGATGACTGGCAATCAAGAAGATGGTAGGTTCATACCCTAACAGACTGTCTTCATCTTTTCTTTCCAAGCCAAGGTTTTTATAGCAGGGAATAAACAAGGTACAGTAAAGGGTTTTGAAATTCAAGTAGGGTCGGGTAGAAGAAACTGCAACATTCCTGTTCTGGGCAGTTAGCTGTTCCCAGGGGAAGATGCCATTTGCTCCTTCCTGAAATACAATGGCCTGGATGCCTCCATTTCTCCCCAGGCGGTAATCTTTATCAGTGCCCCAGGAGGCTAGCTGTTTTCCCAGGAGCCAGGATGGGCCTTATCTATAGTTTCTGAAACAAAAACTTTAACATATACATTACTTGCTAGGCTTATAACTATTTACCCCAAACCAAAATTTCCCAACTCTTAAGTCCCCTAACATCATCACACTTCGAATTAATAACACTAGACTGAAGGAAAAAAACTGAAAAATGCATTCCAAATTGTAAGGGAAGTTTAGTTTGAACCTGAAATTTTATACCCAAGTAAACTATAATTCAAGTGTTGTTAAAAATAAAGACATTTTGCTCTGGCTGGTATAGCTCAGTGAATAGAGAGCTGGCCTGTGAACCAAAGGGTCAGTGGTTTGATTCCCAGTCAAGACACATGCCTGCATTGTGGGCCAGATCCCCAGCTGGGGGCTCGTGAGGGGCAACCACACATTGATGTTTCTCTCCCTCTCTTTCTCATTCCCTTCCTCTCTCTCTTAAAAAAAAAAAGACATTTTTATGTATGCAAGGACTAAAAGGTTTTACCATTCACAGATTCTGAGAAAATTATTTAAAGAAGTTCTCTAAGAAGCCACCCCTACCACCACCCCCGGACAAAGACATGGGAAATCAAGATACATGAGAGGAACGTCATAAAAGTAAATCTCAGAGTAGAAGCTGTGCAGCAGACCTAGAGAGCAATTATTCAAATTAAACCCAGAATATAGAGAGCTCTGAGAATTATTACCAAAAAATGATTACCTATAACAGAAGTATGATTTTTCCAAACTGAATAATCTCAGTGTTAACTAAGAGCTCACTATGATATTTAAATGAATAACTACAATATTTTACCTACCCCACTTCTTTTAAATATACAACTTTTTTCAATAGTACAGACTTAGCAACTGAAGACCTTCCATTACTCTCCCTCTTGTACACACTTGCAAGGAAGCTTACTTACTCCCCACACAAACCACATGGTTCCTGCTGCTGGAACTATGACCACAGAACTGCTGAGGAAACCCACGCCAGACTCCAATAAAGAGCAATCTAGTATCATTTTTATAGACATGGAAAAACAATCAAGGTTCACAGAACATTTGAGGAAAGCCAGGTTCGTGAAAAAGCATGAGGGTAAGAAACAAAGCAACTGACCTCTGAGAGAAGAGTTAATCTAGTAAACAAAAGAGAATGTAGAAAACCTTCTTATTAGCATCTTCAGAGATATTCAAGAGGAAATTACATCCATAAAACAAGTACATAGAAGGAAAAATATTTGACTTCAATATAAGTAAAAACTTTATAATAGACAGTTGTGTTTAAAATTGAAATGCAATGCATAAAACAATAAATAAAATGGGCTGGATGATCACTTGGCAGAATACTATAGAACAAAATATTAGATGGGTGCTTGGGAAATAAAACAAATACAAGCCCTGGCTGGCGTAGCTCAGTGGATTGAGCTCGGGCTGGGAACCAAAGTGTCCTAGGTTCGATTCCAGCCAGGGTATATGCCTGGGTTGAAGGCCATAACCCCCAGCAACTGCACATTGATGTTTCTCTCTCTCTCTCTCTCTCTCTCTCTCTCTCTCTCTCTCTCTCTCCCCTCCCTTCCCTCTCTAAAAATAAATAAATAAAATTAAATAAAATAAAATAAAACAAATACAATCATGAGATTTCATTCCTAGA